GTAAAAGAATCGTTTCTGGCCACTCCCAAGTGAATGGCGATCAGAAAACTTTCCTCACTTGCGTGAACTTCTACACATGACTCCATCCTCCATAGACTTTACACTTTCTATTTAAATTATAAAGATTGTTTACAATAGTCATTTGCAATAAATTGACCGAATCAGCCGTTCATATATCACTAGATTCCGCAAAGGGTGTTCTCGTGCCCTTGTATATTTCGGTAAAGGATTTTTGCAATCTGCAGTCTTGCAAGAGCAAGAGAATCTCCTTATTATACTTAGAAAAGTTTTCTGCAGGCACTATCGGCAATATTGCTAGCAGTACAGATTCTTGCTATCGTAAATTGCCTGTTGAGAAGCTCTGATAAGCAATATTGTTAGTTATGCCGATTTCGCGACGTAATCTATTGCTTGTCGAGATGGGGTTAAAAACTAACGCTAATCCAGAATGCGTTGAATGAATTGAAAGTCGTTTGAGTTTAGTTATTATGATAATAACCGTTTGATGGATATTATTAATAAAGACTTTGCGGACCAGTCCTGGGATGAGAGTATGTTAATTAAATCCTATGACGAATGTGTAAAACTTGGTAGCGAAGATGTAGCAAAATACATATCTAGTAACACCAATAACGGGGCAACAAAAATGTTGAAAACTGAACAAAATCATTTAACAGAGTTTAATGTGGGTGACTACGTTAGATCTACTTACCACGATGATGGTTGTGATTATGAAGCGAAAATATTATCGAAGGACGGATCTAATGATACATGCTTGGTGAAATATATTGGGTATGATAATGAAGAAATAGTTCATCTAAAGGATTTGTTACCGTCTTGGGGGAAAAAGGCACGTCGTTTGCAGTTTCAACAGGCGAACGCGAGGGAACGGAAAGATATTGGTAGTACTGTTAATAGCAGTAAAAAAATGTTAACTGATAAGTTACCTCCTCCTCCTCCTTTACCGCCTATGCTTTCACAAAATATTAGTGATTCGGAACATTTATCAGCTATGTTAATGTCCTGGTACATGAGTGGTTATTATACTGGTATATATGAAGGCATTAAATTAGCAAAAGATAAAAACAAATGAGTCTGATTAGACCATTAATTAAATTCCTATAATTAAAAATTTTATTATATTGAAAGAATATGTTTCACCTTTTCATTGAAGTAACGACCTATTCTGTATTTTTAATCAAATCGTTATGTATGTAAGTACATATATAAATGTCATGAAGACAATGTAAACTAAATATAAAGAGAATAAATAAAGCAATTCGTAACTAAGATCATAAGGAAATTGTTTGTACAATATTCAGGGTTGTTTTGGAATCTGATAGTTGTCGGAATCAGAGTTAAAACCGATCCAAAAAAGCAGAAGGTGTCATGAATTCAGTATTATTGGTTTGATATTCGAAACAGAATTTTTATCGAGCGAGAAGATAGTCGGCACAATTCCGATTTCTTTGGCGCCGCGATTTGAAAGTACCGTTGAAAAGAGGAAGTCCTCCTGATAAAAAAATATATGGGGTTATAGGTATAGCAAACGCTTAGTTTACGAGATATTCGACCTCAAGAAACTATTTCACCACATTAAACACATTTTATTCACATTTTTCATTTCAAATAATTCAAATTACACTATAAACTTTTAAATAAATCCACATTTTACACTTTTAGCAGGTTTTTTACTCAAAAAATATTTATTTTAAAAATTACTCGTTTGAACCTCATTTGTTTATCAAAAATTCGCTGAAATTCCTATTTTTCGGAAAATGGATATTTTCTTTTTTAAATTCATTAAGCTAATAAGTAATATTATATGCATGTATTAGTAATATTATATAAATATATGTATAAGTAATATTATATAATAAGTTTACGTAATAAAGTGTAAAGAATACAGTACAGTAGGAAAACTCAAATTTTGTTACAATATGAGTGAATGATAACCAAAAAATATAACTTTATAATAAAAACTTAATATATTTTTTTTATTTTAAACGCGAAAGTACTTCAGTCATCCCGGGTATTTGCTCGTCCAGGGTTATTTTTTTAGAGCGCGGCCGAAGGCACATGGAAAATGATAGAATAAAATTGTAATATCTATATACAAATTTTATATTACAGTCATATACATAATATAAACACGATTTTACTTATATATATAAGAATAAATCATATATTTCACATATTATATACATAATGTGTGATTTATATATATATATATATGTATATCGTGCCCTCTACTGAAATGAGGGGTAAATTTTAGATCCCCCGTTTCGGGGCTAAAAATGGTATGTACGGCACAATTCCGATTTCTTTGGCACCGCGATCTGAAGGTACCGCAAACGCTTAGTTTACGAGATATCCGACTTTAAAGTTCGAAAATTCCTAAAATTTTAACAATTGAACAAGCTATTTTACTACATTTAACACACTTTATGCACATTTTCGCTTCAAATTCATTTAATTAAAGTGTAATCGGGGAATGTTCGTTTTAGTATCCCTTTTTGAAGAGGTTTTGCGCAAAGGAGGAGGGGGCTGGGGGCTTGCTACCCCCCTCATTTGAAAGGTAATGAATGGAGCTTTTGAATAATAGCACAATTCCCCCCTAGGACTACGGGGGGCTCTAGGGCAGCCTCCTGAAAATGGTGTAAAGTCGTAGTTTTTCCATACAATTTTCACTAATAATTATAAAATTTATGTATTTTTACGCATAAAGTGACTCTATGTTTATTCTTTTTATTATTTCAATGAATTGAAGTGGAAATCAACTTATTTAAACAATAAAAACACGGAAAATTAAAAATTGTATAAGTGTCGGTAATAATGCATAAAAGTAGTTGAAGTACCAAGACGACCCAACCAACCATTTGTACAAGACAAGACAAGAAAACACGCGCGATTTTTATTCCAAATTTTCGTTATATGGACGTAATATATTTCCCACTTTTCAGAGAGCTAAATAACGTATTATATTTACCTGATTGATTACTGGAGGATGGGGTCATGTGTAGAAGTTCACGCCAGTGAGGAAAGTCTCTGATCGCCATTCACTTGGGAATGGCCAGAAACGATTCTTTTACATATGACTCAAGCAGCTCACG